AGCAATCAAAACAGAACATCGAATAAAGCAAAACAATTAATTGGAACAAAACAGTGAGAACAGTATTGGATTTCAAAGATAAGATAGAAGGAAATTCCCTCATTTTTACTATGTTGCATGCTATATTTTACTATATTGCAATAGATGCTCAGACCACTGGCCCAGGCCTACAAAATCAGCCAAACAATAAAAGCATTCAGTTGCTTTTTGTACCTCAGTTGCTATCAACTCAGTCTGTCTTCTGAACCAGCCAGTTGCTTATTAGGGGAGAGGGGAGTGTGTTGATTCTCAGCTGGTTGTGCTGGTCATGGGAGGTGCTATCTGACTTTACTCTTCTGAGGCCCCGCATAGTTTGTGCAGTTTACCAGAAATGTTGGCTAGTTGGCTTCTTGGTGGGTTCCTGCCAGTTCCAGCATGGCAGATTCTCAAGAGGCACTGACTTTTCAAGTTTAGCATAATTGTTAATGCCACACAGTAGGGATATATGTTAACAGAATGAAAATACTGTGTCTTACATGAATTTTGAAACAACTATCAGAAATCACTTTGCTAAATATTCTACTGATCGATGATAGAGGTGGTGACAACATATGGCACCTGCTATAGTTTGGATGTAGAATATTTTACAGAGGCCCAGGTGTTAAAGGCTTGGTACCCAGCTCATGGCACTACTGGGGTGTGGTGAGACTTTTAAGCCATGGGGCCTACTGAGAGGTCTTCAGATCATTGGGGGCACCTTCAAATGGACAGTGGGATCCTAGCTCCTTCTTCCTCTCTTTTTATGCATGACCATGAGATGAGCAGTTTTGCTCTGTCATATCTCTCACTATGATGTGGTACCACAGCCACAAAACAACAGGGTCAATCATGAACTGAAAACCATGAGCCAAAAATAAAACTTTCCAATTTATAAGTTGATTCTTTCAAGTACTTGTTATAGTGCTGAATATAAGCATTTTTTAAGGAGAAATGCATTCTTTTTAATTTGTTCATGAATTACAACCTTACTTAGTCAATATCCCACTGATTCCTGAAAACAACCATGGAGTAACAATCTTACATTGTGATACATAAAATGAGGCTTAGAAAAATTAAGTTCCTCTTGTCAGGTTAAGCCAGAGTAGGATCTAGATCCACATTCAAGCAGTACTAACTGCTTGGTTCAGTAGCTTCAGAGGTGTTAGATAAGGGAGCTTTGACATCTCTTCTAGATTTAGTGAAGTGCCTTGGGCCACAGGATACCAGCTAGAGTTTCACAAGTCATGAGGCATAAAAGCCACCTTCTTCAGTCTGCTCTTCAAGGCTGCCCCCACCTACGCTGACAGAGTTTCAGCACTCTGGCCCATTGCCTATCCCAGGATTTTCATCTCTGATTCTTGGCAGCTTCTCTGGGCTCCCTGTCTGCCTTCTCTACTGATCCCATGAGGCAACTCAGATGCCTTCTCCCCAGGGAGTCCTCTCCTGTGCATACTGTCTCTTCCCTGTAATGATTACTTCCTTCTGCTCTGTCTTTGGCTTATGCCTCTGTTAAAATCCAGACTTCGCTTGGCTTGGGGGTTTCCAGCTATAAATGTCTCCTGGCTCCTTACTCAGTTTAACTTCAGGAACCAAGTCCTATCTGTGTCTTCTCTTGCTGAACTCATTATTTTATACCAGGCGGTGCTCAAGGAAACACACTCTGGTAGGAATGAACTGGATGTTTTGGTCTGCATTTCACTTTACTAAAATGCTTTAGTGTGTGATTTCCACATGGTACCCAGCTAAGCAGGGTCTAAGGTACAGGATGTGACCTGAGTGAATGGGAAAGGAGCCAGCCTGAGCATGTAGGGAAAGTTAGGCAGGAAAAGGCAAGGGTCTTAGTGAGACTTCTGGAAAATTCTGACTAGAAAGAGTTAAAACCTTTGCTAGAGACAGCAATTAAGAGAAGCAGGGAGAATTGAGAAGCAGCCTGGCTCCACTTGGTGCCAAGGCCCCAGTTCACTCCTCTGTATCTCCAGTTAAGTACAAAGGAGACAAAGTGGGGAAGGGATTATAGAAAACTCAGTGCATAAGATATATACTCACATCTGTACATGTGTACATACATATATGTATATATACACATACATACATATATATACAAATATGTATTCTCTCACCATATTACTGCACTAAAATGTATACGCATCCCTCTATTAACTGCTAACTCACCCTTGTATGTAAGACCTATCATAAATTTTAGAGACAGCACCTTAGCAGAACAAAGAAGGGCTACATGAGCTCACCCGAGATTTTGCACACCAGAGAGAAGGGGTGAGGGAAGGAGAGATAGACAGACAGACAGACAGACAGAGACAGAAAATTGCACTTCAGTAATAAAGAGGGTCACTGGCCAAATCAAGAGTCTCAGAGACTAAAACAGCCAGTCAAGTTGCAACAAATTTCAGCGGGGAGAGTCTTTTTTGCCATATAATAAAATGGGCTAAGAACAAAGACCCTGAAACACCCATTCTAAGCTCCCTGCCCTCCTCCAACAAGTGATTTTGTTTCTCCTTTTAAACTTATATCTTTAATTTTTTTATTGGTATGAAGTTTACAAGTTCCAGATAAATAAAATTTACTCTCATGAGATGTGACAAGGGCATCCTCTCTTGAGAACTGACCATCTCAGTCCTCCTGGTCCTACCATGTGGGGGTGACTCGACTGCACTGATTGGGGATGGCTGGGGAGAAGGCTTTGAAGGCTTAGTATTTACAAGGTGTCTGTGAGTGTCTGGAGGCAAAAACTCTGTTATATCTGTGGAATGAATAAGACCTAGAATCCATTTGGAGACCTGGGCAGTGGTCCCGTTGTTTTGTTTTACAGTACTGGTAATTGAATCCAGGGCATTTACATTGAGCTACATACTCAGCCCTTTTAAAAATATTTTATTTTGAGACAGGGTTTCACTAAGTCACTGAATTGTCCAGGATGTGCTCAAGCTTGTGATCCTCATGCCTCAGCCTCCCAGAGTGCTAGCATTACAGATGTGCACCACTATGCCTGGCTGTGACCCCATGTTAAAACAAACAGCAAATTTAGTTCAAAGAGATAACTGTCTTTTATTAGCAATTCATGAATCTACTGAGGTTGAGCAGAGAAAGTTGGCTTTATTCACAGAAAAGGGATGAAGAAAGCAGAAATAAGGAACAGAAACTCAATTGGTCTCTTCAAAGTTATTCTATACAGAAACTTTCTATCATTGCCCATTATGTAAACTGGTCCTCTTCTGATTGCTGTGAATCTAATTTTTTGAAAATTGGCTCATTTTAAAGTTCAGTTTGATTATGTGGGATTTAGCATAAGTGTCTCCACTGTGGTTTGGTTTTGTCTGTTGGGATTTAGTACAGGAGCTCAAACCAAAGCAAGGGCCTCCTATAACCTTGGTTTAATGTCTCTACTGTGCATTTTATCCTGATGAGAGATTTGTCCACTTGGCCTTCTCTCAACTCAGACACAGGAGTAAATCCTGAAGTATATTCTTTCACTTACTATTCAGAATGTCTTAACCTTGTTCATTAATCATCCACATCCAATTGCTGAACTTGATCTCATCCAATGTGTTGGAGAGGGTTTTTCTGAGTTGCAGTAGGGATACCATGGCTCACAATTCTGAGAAGGGAAACTAAGCTCAGAGAGCAGAAGTGTCTCTGCATTTCCTCAGCAGTATGGTGCAGGGAAGAAACCAGGGCTTGGCCTTATCCTTCCCTACCCATCCATCAGCGCCCTTGCAAATGTTCTCTTGCCCTACATCCTAGTGCCCCACACTGGCTGAGTTGGAGGAAATTTACAACAGGGACACTTGTGTTGATGTTTTGGGTTTTGGTGTGCATTCTAGACAATAAACACCTCTCTGGTAATCCATCCTTCAAGACTATTCAGAGTGTTAAGCATAATGGCATCTGGAGGTCCAAAAGAGGGACGCAGGGTTTACACTTGGGTTCAGGCTGAGTGAGCTGAATTTTGTGATGCAGTCCTCATTACAGAGGTTGGCCTTCTGTCCTTGGACATGCAAAGAACTTACACCCCAGTTTGTCATTTTGTTGAATGTCTATTCTGAACTAACACTTGGCTCAGGTCATTGAAAATACTTGGAAGCTTGCCAAATTGCATCTCTGGTGACAAAAACAGCCCTAATCCTCAACTCTATAAACCAATGAGCCAGTGGTGGTGAAGCTATGGCATGTGTGTTGCAGCAGTGGGTTGTATGTATCACGGAAAGCTCTAAAAGTTTCACTACTGCTGCCAGTGCAAGCCCTAGTACTCAGTCCATGCCTGAATCTTTGTAGAACCCCAAGGAATGTATGTGGCTTTGTTTTCTTTTGAAGAGTTTCAAAGACAGGGCTCCATGTAATAAAATCCGAGCAGTATTTAGGACCAGGGAAAAGTTCATCTCATTCAGAGACATCAAGTTTCTGCCTAGGCTGCTAGGAAGATTCAGTGTAAATTTAGGCTTTTTAACTTTTATTTATTTTATTGTTATTTTTGGTGTTGGAGATTAAACTCAGGACCTCATACATTTGAGACTGAACTACATCCCCAGCCATTTTTATTTTGAAACCTGGCCTTGCTAAATTGTCCATGGTGGTCTCATACTTGCAGATATCTTGCCTCAGCCTCCTGAGTAGCTGAAATGCAGGGATGCAGCACAATGCTTGGCTCCAGTGCTTTTTATTTTTTATCTCATGAATCTATTAAAACAATATCCCCTCTTATTAAAATGTTTACAAACTATTTTCAACTCTAATTCTCTTGCTTATATTGCAATCAAATATTACAAACTAGTTGCCTTGAGTCCCAATGTGGTAATACAAACATTTAAGTAAAAGACATAACAACTAGAGGCAGAAAGGATTATTTTCATTATTGCACATGTAATCAAAAAATACATAAATGTCATGTGAGAGTACATAAGAATATAAATGGTATAGAACCTGACTTGAATAACAATACATATTACTAAGGAAGAAATATTGCTTATGAAGATTTTTTTGTCCACCAATCAGACATTAGCATCCGCTGTTTATCTCACAGAAGCAAGGTGGCAGAGAATCTGCATACATTTTACATTCCTCACAGGGATGAACCATGGAGGAAGACTCAGTGAAGATGGATTCAGTCAGGATGACCTTGTCCTTGGTGTTGCTGGCACACTCAGCCTCAGCATCAGGTTCTCTTAAGAAAAGACACACACAAAGCATGGGCTTAGAAGTTTTCTTTTCAGTTCTTTTTTTTTTTTTAACAATTCTCAGGGCTCTCTGGGAGGCTCAGGACTGCAGTCAACCCACACAGCACTGGACTAAAGCTCCCTGCCCCTGTGCCGAATTCCTCTCTCATCTCCTTCTCACCTATAACTTCTGTACATGTAAACTCGGAATGCAAAAGTAGTGGGGAATGAATTGCAAGTAGGGCTCACCCATATGGTTGCAGCAGGAATAAGGCAGAAGGAGCCCTGCTCTGTAATTCCCTAGAATGGGGACACACTGAGGCTGAAAGCTAGCTCCTCCTATACTTAAGGATCCTTTGTCCAAACTAGAAAAATCTCTTGCGTGATCTACATCCCCTTGTAAGCTGGCTTCTATAGGGCCTCTGTCCTGTAAGTCCACTTCACTGTCCCCAAGGACGTGGGGAATGAATGAGGGAACATGCTGTGGAGTTCCTGACTTGGGTGAGATGAGGTGAGTATAGCTTGTCCCAGGCTTATTTCCACAGCATTCCCTGGGATTGTCCTGTCTCCAGCACCTAGCACTAGGAGAAATTCTGCCAAGGGACTAGTCAACATTTGATGGTAAACCCAGTGAGGTCAGTGATACTACAGAGGTGTCGACACACACAGCCTCAAGCTGAAAATATTCTATTTTCCAGCTCACAACCCCAAGCCAGGAAGAAAACCCCGAAGATTCTGTATGTGCCTGCCTTTCCCTTTTCAAACCTGCCGATGGTTCTTGACCTCACACACTGTGTAGCTCCAGCAACAAGGAATGACCCTGCTCAAGCAGAGTACCAGGTGTCCCATCTGAGGGGACACTGTTGACTCTTATCCCCATGACTCACTTCAGCTCTTTAGAGATTTTGAAGAGAAGACTGGCAACAACAGCGATCAGAAAAGCTGCAATCATCAGTAAGCTGCTACCAATGCTGATTATAATCTTCATACTGAGATCAGACATCTTTTACACCTAGGTAGAGAAAGGCAGACTGACCGTGAAGGTAGCTTCCCCACCTCACAACCCTTCTCCACAATCATGAACAGATCCTGTGTTTTCAGAGATCCCTAAGCTGGCCCAGGACGGGTACAGAGGTTTATTTCTGTACAGAGATGGACTGAGATACAAAATTCAGAGGAGAATGGGACATCTTTCATTCACAGGCGGTGATGTGTCCTTAATTAATGACTGGGTCTGCACTGGAACTAGTGGTTTTACTCCTGCCATCTGCACTTCTTGAACTATGTTCATGATCACAGTCAGAAATGACCCCCTAACTGTACAGTAAGTTAAAATATTTTAATATTTATTATCCAGAATAAGAGGAACTTTTCAAAATGTTACTGTTAGAAGGCAATACTGAGAATGCAAACCTACCTCGTTAAATGTGACTATTTTAGGGAAAAAATGTTTTGACTATTTGTTAAGACTATTTTAGAGAAAAAAAATTTCAAAATATTGGATCAGGCCCTTTCAGGGTTAAGGGTTTTCTGGAAGCCTCCAGCCAACTCATTGTCCTGGGTGAGAAAGGAAGAGGTGTCTGCACAGACCAGGAACCAGCATCTTCAGGAACACTGTGTCCTTCATTCTTTATGGCATTTGAACTCAAAACTTCTTTTTTTTTTGGTCTTTTTAAGACAGGGTCTTGCTATGCAGTTCAGGCTGGCCTTGAGCTTACTTTGTAGCCCAGGCTGGTCTTGAACTCATGATGATCCTCCTGCCTCGGCCTCCTGAGTGCTGGGATTATAGGCATGAGCCACCACGCCCAGCAAGACTTCACTCTTGCCAGGTGGTCACTATGCCACTGAGCTATATCCCAGCTCCTCTTGTCCCTCATTCTCTCTTTCTGTAGACCATGGGTCTTTCTCCTAAGTCCATCTTCCCAGAAAATCAAATTTGTCTAGAATAAGCAATTTGTTCAATTTCATACACTGAAATTGAGGAGCAGTGAACCAGGAGGGAATAAACCATCTGCCAAATTTCCTACTACTGTTTAACCATTCAGAGCTGGATTAAGAACAATTGTGAAAAGAAAAAAAGGAAAACCTTGGGGGTAATGGTTATTTTGCTAGGAATTTCTCAAACCTGTATTTTGAGTAAGAGAATCCGATCTTCTGTTCGGAATAATTACAGTCTGCAGTTAAAGAGTTTGTGTTTCGAAGAGCAGTGTTCCACCAGAACTAGAATCTACCAGCTCTAACACTGATGACACAGGCTGTTATGACATCAACCAGCAGGACACAAGCTTCTTTCACTGAATTCTGTTCCATGTGCAGATATATTTCAACTCTCATTTAATATATATATATATATATATATATATATATATATTTTTTTTTTTTTTTTTTTTTTTTTTTTTTTTTTGAGACAGGGTCTCACTATGTTGTTCAGGGTGTCCGTGAACTCACTATGTAACCCAGGCTGGCTTCAAACTGCGATTATAGGAATGCACCACTGTACCTGACTATAAATACTATATGAATCATGTAATTCTAAGCCTTTAACATTTTCTGGGTGTGACTGCTAATTAAAAGTAGGTTTAAAATTTCGGTTGTAAAAATAAAAAAATGTGGAGGCTAAAAACATCTTTGGAGTTAAAATGTTCTATTACAGAAGACTGGCTACATGTAATGCTTCAGTTATAGCATGAAATAATATAGAGCCATTTACTAGACTTTAAGCATATGTTCACTGACATTGGCAGATTTTCATATTTTATCATTAAAAGGGTTACAGAAATCAAAGTTAATTAAAGAATATATCTAATTTAGTCAGGTTCACATGATTATAAGGAAATTCAGCCAATGGATTTGTCATAGTGAAGTAGAAATCCTGACCTAACCACAGCCATTTTGCTTTAAAAAGTTGCAGTCATTCTGTTCTCTACCACTGAACTCGGCTAAATCATGATTTGTCTTTAAATTAAAACTTCTGTGAGCATGCTAAAAAAAACTTTACTACATCCAACTGTGCTCACCACAAGATACTCATTGTACCATGGCCTTCAGCAAAAGCTTACCGTGTTCTTGTAACTTCTGTTTGCCAACTTATAAAGACTAACTTTCTTCATTTAAATCTTTGTAATATAATTTCTATGATTAATCAGGCTTTTTTGGGGGTGGGTACTGGGATTTGAACTCATGGTCCTGCACTTGCCAGGCAGGTGCCGGTGCCCTGAGCTATATCCCCACCCCCAAAAAACTAACTTTCTCACAAGGTCCTGAGTTCGATCCCTGGTTAGAAAAATTTTAAAAAGACTAACTTTCTGTAAAACTCACCTCAGACTTTGGAGATTACTCCTCTGGGGTCTGCTAGAGTCCATAAAATTTCCCTTTTTCCACTGAGCTCTTGGCTACCATTGATTGACTTTTTCCCACAACAATTAAGTGGGAGACTCCAGATGCCAACAAGCTGGGGTGGACTGTGCTTCCCTGTCTTCCCTTGGGAAAACATGTCAAGTTAAGGAGAACTTGTTCATAAACGAACAAACCTTAGTTCTCATGTTATACAACTTAATTCACAAGTATTCACAGCATAAAACATTCCTTTTGATATATGTCTTAGATATTAGATGAAAACACTTCATTTATTGCAGACAAGAAGTTTCTAGAGTGAATGCATTTATTTTTACTGGCAAATACAACACCTTCAACACATAACCAACAGTACGAAAATCAAGTCTGCCAGAGAAAATGCAGTTTCCTTGGCTTGTATGTGTTAATCATTCAATGTGGATCCTTAGCATACCACATTTGATACAGGAAAGGTTTGGGAAGAAGGCCTGTGTCAGGCCCCAAAAGGAGACTTCCATATATGTTCTGAGATTTCTGAGGTATAGCAAGATACACAAGGTACATGTTCCCATTTTACATACTAAATCTGAAGTAATCTGAAGTAATAATTCTAACAAAGAATGGGCCAATGATCCGGCCCGCGGTGTACCTGGAGGGGGAATGGGGATGAAATAGAAACAGGGGGGAGACAAAGAGAGATGGACACAAGATGAGGATTCCAATCAAGTCTCGTTTATTCAGGAAGTGATCACATCTTTTATAGGCCAAGGGCGGACTGGTGGGACTGGAAGAGGCTATGGGGATGAATACAACAGCGTCATCGTCACATCCAAGTATATGATGTAAGCATGAGAGGATTATGGTTAATGTAGGCAGTTGCATCATATGCCCATAGGAGAGAGAGATGGCAGCAATGGGGTGGTCATGCCGCTCCATACATCTCCTTCCTTTTTATATTATTTTGTCAGGAGTATGACAGGCCCTGTGAGGACAGCGCCTATCTTAGGTCAAAGAACCTCATTACATGAACCCAACCTGTCATGGGCTTGCAGGACAGCAGTTGTTCCTGTGCCTGTCTTAGGCGGCCAGTGGTGTAATCATGTATGTCCTAGTTGCCCGCCTCTGGCTGCCTGTCCATTGCCCCAGGGCAGTTAGGCTGCATTGTCATATGGGCCACTCGTGGGAATTCCTTCCCGGTAGGTTTGTTGATCTGCCATCTCCAGCTAGTGATGTACCTGAATGGGCTTTGCCATAAATGCGTCTATCTGGTTATTAATGAGCGTCATAATCCTCTGAAAAATACAAGGACCTACAGAAAGGAGAAGCAACAAGGCAGCTAAGGGACCCAAAAGGGGTGCTAGGTAAGGGAAAAGTCCCCCCCACATCGAGGAGAAGGGGTTAGCAGCCATTTGTTGTTGTCGCTGTTAAAGTCGTTCTTCTATTTCTTGGAGCTTGCCTCGCACAACACCGGACTGATTGACATAGAAGCAACATTTTTCTGCAGTCTATTTGGCTGGTTTGTGTTCCTCCAGCCCAAAAAGAGCCTCCTCCACAGTCACAGGGGTTTCTGTGTATGGCTGTCAGCAGTTGTAGTCTGTTTGGCGGGGGTTTAAATCCACCATGGGTGTGATACGGTCCAAGGAGAAGGCTGAGCAGGCAGCATAAGGCTCCGAGGAGTTGTGTCATCTGTAAAAGAGCACAGGGGGTTGTGCCTCAGGAAATGACATTATTCCTGGGCGTCGCATGAGGTCTTTGAAGAACTGTCTACTTGTTTTACAAGGCGCTCAGGTAGCCATCTAGCCTCTCCGTCTTGTTGAGAGTAAACACATACTGAACCTCGTCCCCAGATAAGGACTGGGTCGGGGCCATTCCACATATTGGTTAGTGGGTCTCTCCATAGTACAGAAGCAAATTGCTTTTGTGTTTCAGTATGCCAAAAATGCATGCCTGCTGACAGTCCAGAAGCATCCAAATTTAAAAAATTAAGGATGAATAAGGCATGAGATAGAATATTTTTAGGTGTCCTCCTTGTGATACCATTCTCCCTTTTTTTTATTTTATCAACAGTGAGTTTTAGGGAAAGATGTGCCCTTTTAACTATGCCTTGACCTTGAGGGTTATACGGTATGCCTTTTATATGATCAATATTAAGATGTTGACAGAAACGAGCAAAGGCAGAACAGGCATAGCCTGGACCATTATCAGTCTTTAATTGTTGTGGGCATCCCAGAACTGAGAAGGCTGACAGCATATGGACTAATAACATTTGTTAGCTTTGCCAGTCTGAGGAGAGGTATAAATGAAACCACTAAAGATATCTATACTCACATGAACGTATTTAAGATTGCCAAACTCAGGAATGTGGGTTACATCCATTTGCCATAATGCATTGGGGATAAGTCCTCTAGGATTAACCCCAAAGTGTGGAACTGGGAGGTGCGTGGCACAAGAAAGGCCATTTTTTACTATCTGTCTGGCTTGTTTTATAGTGATCTTAATACAGCATTACAGAAAAATAAATGGTAAGAAATCAACAGTTAATAAGTTACATATTGTCATCTTAGAAATAGCCATCCAGGTCACAAAACCAAAGCATGAAAGTGACATCCAAATAGTGACACTGCCAACAGTTCTGCTCAATGATCCAACAAAAACTTAGTAATATGTTTATCAGTCCTACACACTTGTTTTTTCACCTCAAAGAGGGCAAGACCAAACATATCAAAACAGAACAAAACAGTTTAAAAAAAAGATTTAAAGAAATACAGATTTTAAAGCAAGTCCACTGGAGATCTTTACTGTTTACTTAATTGTCTCTAGTTTCCTCCAAACAGTTGTGTCCATCTTTATGCACATTAAATACATACTGCATATTATAGAACTAATCAAATCATTACAGGATGGTGAAGGCTTCCCAGGCCCCCAAGATCCGACACTGGGGAAGACAACAGTAACCACCACAGTGCCTCCCATTCTCCTCCCAGCAGCCGTCCCCATCCCCACACATGCCGAAACTAAACTCAAGAGACCAGACCAACACCACTCTGATCAGTTAAACGAGTCAAAGTAATTGACATTAGAATTTCTATCTCTGGAATCTTTTTGTAAAATGACCAGTCTCTCTACAGGTAAAACAGTTTTGTTTATGTTTTTGAGATAACAACTGTTTAAAATCTGTAAACCCTTGCAAGGCAGCAGCCATAGCAAGGTCTTGATGACAAGCGGTTTCAATGTCTGTTGGGAGCCGCGGCCGAGCCCGGTCACCTTACTTGGCGGACGTGAGGCCTGTAGAAAAGAGCAAAGCCCGAGCTAGATTACCCCTCCCATCGAGTGAGCTAAGATGGCGCTTATCTCCTGCTTCCTGCTTAGTAAACAACCCGCTCTGTAAGATAGTCTGCCTAGCAACAACTGATGTTAGCCAATCAGCCCGCATCGTGCGCTTTGAACTGATTGGCCACTGTTACCCTATAAAAGTGAGTGCCTCTCCCGCTACGAGAGAGAAGCACAGAGAGAGATAGAGAAAGTCCACCGGTAAGAAAGGACTGGTGGCAGAGCAGAGGCCTCGCGGGGCCCACGCGGAGACAAATAAAGACAAGGTTGCACACCGTCAGAATCTGTCGTGTGTTTTTCCTGCCGGCCGGGAGTGACACCGACAAATGTCAATGGTACCAGGGATTGAACTCACAGCCTTTTATTTGTCGGACAGGTAACTGTGCCACTGAGTTAAATCTCTAGCCCTGGGGACTGAACTCAAAACTTTGTGCTTTGCTTATGTCACTGAGCTAAGTCTCCAGCCCCTGCATAATGCTCCTGAGGAACTCATATTGCTCTTAAATTGCTTTTGGGCCTCTCTGTTGGGATAGGCATCCTCCACTATTAACATATTAAGGTCCCACCTATTGCCAGCCTGTGTACTATGCCTGGTGGTCTCTTTGCAATTTTTTGTATATTCTGATTTTTACAAAAGATTATCCCCACCTGATAAAGTCACTTGGGCCAATCTTTGTCAATCTGTAGGTGTGAGCCAGCCATCAGCCAGAGAATTTAAAACAGCAAGAGTGAGAGCAGCTGTAAGGCCATATTGGGCAACTGCTGTCTTTAATTCTTTTAAAGCTGCCACGGTGAATGGCATATGGGTCCTAATGACTTGTGGAGCTAGTGGCATGGCGCTCACGCTGTCTTGCGGCTGTGCAGCACCATCTTGGAGAGGTACGCTTGTTTCCATCACCGGAAACACAATTTTGGGGAGGGGGGAGGGCCCACCGGGCCCACCCTGTTGTGGCGGAAGTGAGGCAAGCGCCATTTTAAGAGTGCCATGAGGCTTGCTGGAGGCAGGTGCCATCTTAGGGGCACTATAAGGCTGTGTAGCTCGGAGGGCCTTGTGTGACTGTCTCCTCAATCTGAGGATCTGCATGCTGCTGGGCAAGCAGCTCAGAGATTAAATTCCAATATGTAAAAGTGGTCACTGGAAACTTTTCTGGACCAAAAACCCTATAATAATCTTTTAAAGCATCTCTTACTCTTTTCCACCTCTTGGTATCTATAGAGCCCTCTAGGGGGAACCAAGGGCAAACCTTATGAATAAATTGAAAATACTGCAACAATTCTTTTGTTCTAATCCTTAACCCTCTTGTCTTTAATGCCTTGCTGAGGCCTCCCACGAACAATTCATGTTCGCTCAATGCTTGACCCATGTCTGGGAAAGGAAATAGGGTTGCCGTTCGCTCACCATGACTCAAGTGGCACATTGAGCAGTTGTCTGTGCAGGCCTTGGTCCTTGATTCAATTTGCTTTCACTCTTAGCTTCGATCCTTGATTCAGTTTGTTTTCACTCTTAGCTTCGATCCTTGATTCAATTTGTTTTTACTTCTCGCCGACGTTCTTGAACGGCTCCCTCATTAACTCCACTGTGCCAGGAGCCCCCACGGTGGGCACCACTTGATCTGGCCCGCGGATCAATCTCTGGGGGGGTACCTGGAGGGGGAATGGGGATGAAATAGAAACAGGGGGGAGACAAAGAGAGATGGACACAAGATGAGGATTCTAATCAAGTCTCGTTTATTCAGGAAGTGATCACATCTTTTATAGGCCAAGGGCGGGCTGGTGGGACTGGAAGAGGCTATGGGGGTGAATACAACAGGGTCATCATCACGTCCGGGTATATGATGTAAACAGGAGAGGATTATGGTTAATGTAGGCAGGTGCATCATATGCCCATAGGAGAGAGAGACGGGGAGGCAGCAATGGGGCGGTCATGCCGCTTCCTACAGGCCAATTCTGATTTTTCTATCTACTGCAACAATGTGACAGAATATAAACTTAATGGTCCAAATATGAAATAATTGTAACTATATTAAATATCTGAAGTAAACAATATAAAATATAAATTGGTGATCTGAAATGAAAGCTTCCAGACTAAAGCATCAAGCAGTAGCAATTAAAAAAAATACCAAATTCTCTAAGGATTCTTTTTATACCCTAAAATTATGAAATAAAGTCTTTGTATAAATTAATAATACAATAAAACTAATGAACAGTATTAGAAATTCTTGAAACATTCAATATAACTAATATAAACTATATAAATTTGTGTAAAAGCAAAACATATTGCACACAAAAACAACTTACAAGCATATTACGTTAGCTCAGCACACGTTACTGGCTTTACAGTGACAAGGACAGTCAAAATGAATAGAGGTCACTTTATGTAAAATGATGATCCTTTGAACCGGCTCTGCAGGGCCTCTGCAGGTCTCAGGCCTGCCCACACCAACTTCCCAGCTTCCTGCCATGCTTGGCCAGCTCCACAGATCTTGGGCCTGCCTGTGCCCTCAATCCTGGAAACTGGGCGGCCTGAGGTGAGTGTTCCCACACCATCCTGAGCCTTGGTAGTGTACCATCATTGCTCCCACTGATCAGGGAACTTCCCAGCTTCCTGCTACACTTGACTGGCTCCACAGGTCTTGGGCCTGCCCACGCCAACTTCCCAGTTTCCTGCCGCACTTGGTCAGCTCCATGGGTCTTGGGCCTGCCTGTGCCTTCAATCCTGGAAACTGGGCGGCCGGGGGTGAGTGTCCCCGTACCATCCCAAACCGTGGGAGTTTAAGATCATCACTCCCACCAGCCAAGGAACTTCCCAGCTTCCTGCCACACTTGACTGGCTCTGCAGGTCTTGGGCCTGCCTGCGCCACACTCTCTCAATCTGGGGAACTGGGTGGCTGGAGTTCCAGGAGCTGAGGGCATAGAAGAGGATTTCCAAAACATCCAGGGGAAGCCTTGGAACAACACTTGAAACAGGGAAATATAGGAAAATGACAAAACGAAAAACCAAAATACAATCTCAAACCTCCAGTCCATCCCAAGAAACCTTAGGAGCTATGTACATAGAAAAAAATATATGCCATATACCTGAAATATCTAAAATAATAGTAACTGAAATAAAGAAACAACTTCAGGAAGCTTTAAAGGAATTCAAACTAGAAATAATCTCCCAGGTAAAAGAAGAAATGATAAAAGAAATGAAAGAGATGCTGAACAGATCTAAAGAAGACACAGTTAAAAAATTAGAGGAACAAAACAAAAAGATAGAATCCCTGGATGAACAATATAAGAAACAAAGAGAATACATGAAGCAGATTCAAAGAGATATACAGGAAATCAAAAATTGAAAGTGGTCAAAATCACCTCAATGAAAGTGAAGACATAATTTCAGACCTTGAAGACAAGATTGCATCTAATAAACAGGAAAGGAAAGATCTTTTAAAAATAATAAGGAATCAGGAAATAAGAATTCAACAGCTGCAAGATGATGCAAAGAAAAATAACATAAGATTGATAGGGATAAATGAAAAAGAAGGGGATAACACAAAGTATATCAAAAGGCTATTTATAGAAGTGATAGCTGAAAATTTCCCAAACATGAGAATGGAAACTGACATCAAGATCAATGAAGCATTAGAACTCCAAATAGCCATAACCAAAATAAAACTACACCCAGACATATAATAATCACCATTCCAGAAATCCAACATAAGAATAGAATATTAAAAGCTGTTAGAAAGAAAAGACAGATCACCTATAAAGGAAAACCTATCAGAATCACAGCAGACTTCTCAGCACAAACAATAACGGCAAGAGCATGGAGTGAAATATTTCAGATCCTAAAGGAAAATGGTTTCCAACCTAGACTGATGTATTCTGAAAAACTGTAATTCAAAATTGATGGAGAAATAATTTCCATGACAAAGAACAGCTGAAGAACTTCATGGTCAATGAGCCAACACTGCAAAGAATACTGAAAGACAGTTTAGATACACTTAGGAAAAAACCACTAAGCAAAGCAGACAATTAAACAGAATGGAAAGATAAAGATGCAACAGCAGAAAGATAACATGTCAACAATAAACCAATATATAACAGTTGTAACCATTAATGTAAATGGTCTCAATTCAACAATTAAAAGAAACAGACTAGCAGAATGGATCAAGAAACAATATCCAATCATATACTGTCTACAAGAAATCCATCTAACCCAAAAGAACACTCACAGACTGAAAGTCAAAGGATGGAAAACAATGCTTCATGCAACAGGAACCCCAAAAGAGCAGGGGTAGCTATTCTGTTTGCAGATAATGTGAACTTCAAACCAATAATGATCAGAAGACATAATGAAGGTCATTACATACTGGTTAGGGGAAAACTTCAAGGGGAAGAGATAACTATCTTAAATATATATGCACCAAATTCCAGAGCACCCAGTTATACAAAGCAAGTACTAATAAAAATGCAAAATCAAATTAGCAATAATACAATTATAACAGGAGACGTTAACACACCATTGACACCAAGGGACAGATCAACCAGACAGAAAATCAGCAAAGAAATAACAGAACTGATTCACACCGTGAACAAATGGACTTGATAGACATATACAGAGTGTTCCATCCAACAACATCAGAATACACATTCTTCTCAGCAGTACATGGGACATTCTCTAAAATAGATCATATACTTGCCCACAGAATGTATATAAACGTAAATAAATGCAAAAGAGATGAAATTATCCCATGCATGTTATTGGATCATAGCGCCACGAAACTAGAAATTAATGATAAAAGAAACTGCAAAAATCCCACAAACACATAGAAATTGAATAACATACTCTTGAGCAATCAGTAGGTCACAGGGGAAATTAAAAAAGAAATTAAACAATACCTACAAGCAAATGAAAATAAAAATACAACTTACCAGAATCTGTGGGATGCAATGAAAGCTGTACTCTGAGGAAAATTTATTACATTGAGTTCTCACATCAGGAAAACAGAACGAATACAAATAAATAACCTGATGCTACACCTCAAACATCTAGAAAAAGAAGAGCAAGTCAAGCCCAAAGCCAAAAAAAGAGAGGAAATTATAAAAATCAGAGCAGAAATTAATTCAATAGAGATTAAGAAAACAATCCAAAGAATCAATGAATCAAAGAGCTGATTCTTTGAAAGAATAAATAAAATTGATAAGCTTCTAGCCAACCTTATTTAAAAAGGGGAAGAAAAAGCCTCAATTTCATGCCATAAGGAATGAAAAAGGCAAAAATCACTACAGACTCTGTAGAAATACAGATCATCAACACCTATTTCGAAAACCTCTACTCGCATAGGTTTGATAACACAGAAGAAATGGACAAATTCCCAGAAAGATATGAAGTATGAAAGCTAGGTCAAGAAGATGTAAAACTGCTGAATAACCCAATTTCTATTAATGAAATTGAAAATGTAATTAAGTCTTTACCTACAAAGAAGAACCCAGGCCCAGACGGATTCACTGTGGAATTCTATAAGAAATACAAAGAAGACTTAATGCCGACACTCCTCAAACTCTTCAATGAAATTGAAAGAGAAGAAATACTTCCTAAGTATTCCTGGAAGCAAATATTACCAGAACCTGAAAAAGATCCAGCTAAAAAAGAGAACTATAGGCCAGTCTCCCTAATGAACACAGATGCAAAAATCCTCAATAAAATATTGGCAAACAGGATGCAGCACATTATCAAGAAGATTATACACCATGACCAACTGGGATTCATCCCAGGCATGCAGGGATGGTTCAACATATGTAAATCAATAAATGTAATCTACCATATCAATAAGGCCAAAAATAGGAATCACTTGATCATTTCTATAGATGCAGAAAAAGCTTTTGATAAGGTCCAACATTCATTCATGATAAGAACCTTACAGAAAATTAAAATACATGGTCTTTACCTCAATATAATAAAGGCCATCTATGACAAACCAACAGCCAGTATCATACTAAGTGGCCAAAAACTGAAGGCCTTTACCTTAAAATCAGGCACAAGACAAGGATGTCCCTTATCACCACTCCTATTCAATATAGTACTGGAAATACTAGCCAGAGCAATTCGACAAGAGAGAGAAATAAAAGGAGTAAAGATAGGAAAAGAGGAAGTTAAATTATCATTATTTGCAGATGACATGATACTCTACATAGAAGACCCCCAAAACTTCACTGAAAGTCTCATAGATACAATAAATAAGTTCAGCAATATAGCTAGATATAACATCAATACTCAAAAATCAATAGCATTCCTATACACTAACAATAAAATCACAGAGAAGTAAGAGAAGCCACACCCTTCACACTAGCATCTAAAAAAATGAAATACTTAGGAATTAATCTGACTAAAGAAGTGAAAGATCTATATAGGGAAAATTATAATACACTGAAAAAAATTGAAGAGAATCTCATAAAATGGAAAGACATCCCTTGCTCATGGATAGGAAGAGTAAATATTGTGAAAATGGCCATTATCCCACAACTATTATACAGATTAAATGCAATCCCAATAAAAATACCATCAACATACCTCATAGATCTAGAGAAATCACTCCTAAAATTCATCTGGAACAAGAAGAGACCTAGAATAGCAAAGACAGTTCTAAGCAGCAAAGGCA